TTCAAACAATTAAACTTTCTCATGTTTGTTATGGACTAGCAAGTGATGGTGAAACTTTGGTCATCAGTTGTTCTGGCAGACAGAGTACTAGAGTGAATTTGAATGACATTTCTCTTACAATCTTAGGAGGAATGGAAGGAGTGTATCGGAAATATATATGGGACCATTCCGTTTAAAAACAAAGTCTGCTGCTTAAAAAGTACTGTTGAACATCTGTGGACATTTCAGCAGTAGGACATAGACGATCCAGAAGGAATTGCATTAGACATGCATGGCTTTGTCTATATAGCTTCTTATGAAAACAGCAGTATCGTGGTAGTATCTCCAAATGGCAAAACCTGTGAGACCATACTATCAGAGGCTGATGGAATCAACTATCCTTATAAAATAGACATAAACAAAGAAACAGGAATGATGATAGTAAAATAACGGAAGATAGCAACACAGACTATGAAACAGCTTTTGTTTTTAAGATTTAAAATTTTATTTTATTTTTTGAATACAAGTATATCTGATATCAAGATCATTCCATCTTCCGTATCAAGGCGTACAAATATTTTATTATTAGAATAAATTTTTGTTCATTTTTCTTGTAATAAAAGATTTTGATTTTTAACCGGATTTCCGAAGAAAAGTATCGGTAATTAATCTGGTGTTGTATGGTGGACAGGCGGGTGGTCGCCTGACAAACAGTGTCCTTGCAATAACTTGTTTATACTTTTTCAAATTTAGATAGGTTGTTTCCTGTGAGTAAACGACGGTCAACTTTAATTTTAAATTTCAGATATAATCTTTTATCGGCGTTGATTTGTAGACCTTCAAGTAGCAAAAAGTGCTTGAGATTGGTTTTGGCCTTTCCATTTCTACAAGAATTCATTTATTTGTTTTACTTGATCCTGTTTTGGGTGTAAATTGGAATCACCTTCTGTATTTACCACCATTAGAACCAAACAATATCAATGTAAAGGATATATCAATAGTAGAAAACTTGAGCTATTTGCATGACAACAGGACCCATAAAAAGAATAGCCAAACTCAACTGAAAGTCAACTGATGCTGGGAGGGGGATAGACAATTTAGTTTCTTATTAATTTTTAAATTTATCAATGAATACCTTCAAAGGGTATTTTAAAGATGGTCATGTGCCAAAATTAGGAAATACAAGAGTGCACTAGCTGAAATGTATCGCTATACTGACCATTAAATTTATGTTGAAAGTTTTAAAGATAAAGATTTTACTACAAGTATCACATAACTTGACATTTCAAAGACCCATGACAATGAGGTCAAGGTCAGATAAATCCTGTCAGATAGATATGGACACCTTACAATTATTCCATACACCTGAGCTATTGCTTCTTGTAATTGAAAAAAAACAGACCAAGACACTTAAACTTATCATTGACAAAAGAACCATGAAGATGAGGTCAAGGTATTAAGATACCTGATAGACAGACATGTACACCTTACAATCTTTCTATACACTAGAGATATTTGATCTATTGCTTATAGTACAGACCAAAACACAAAAATTTTACATTGACCAATGAACCATGAATCTAAGGGTAGGGTCATATGAAACTTGCCAGACTGTCATGTACCCTTTAAAATTAGTTTCAACACATTCAGCTGACTTACTGCTTATAGTATCCGAGAAACAGATCTAATCATGTTACTTGACCCATGAAATTATGTCGAAGTCAGGTGAACTCTGTCTGGTAGACATGTAGACCTTGCAAAGAACCCATATACCAAAGGTTACCTATTACTCATAATAAGAGAAATTCACATTACAAAAAAAAACCTTGTTTTTTTATTCAACCAGTCACTGAACCATGAAAATAAGTAAGAAAACATAAAAAGCAGTCACTGAATCATCTATGGAGTCATGGAAGAATGTTTGTATGACAGACGGAAATTTCGTAACAAAAAGTATCTGCACACAAGGTATGAAGCATCCAGGTCTTCTACCTTCTGAAATCTAATGCTTTATACCAAAAGTTTACGCAGTCGCTGGACAGTGATTCCTATGTCCCGCATGAGCCAAAAACTGATGCCACGTAACTACAAGCAATACTGCTATCGTTTCTGTTCAAACTCTAAAATAGTAACTATTGTCTTTAAAAATCAAATGTCATTAACTTCATTAAAACAAAATAAAATTCAAATAATGTCCACATGGAGCGATAATAGGACTAACTAACAATTGAAACATGTATTACGCAAGGGACATATAAGAGGCGTAATAATATAAGCTACTAGAACACACTTGCGAGTCTGCGACTGAGTTAAAGTATTTACGCCTTGTTTTTAGCCTGGTGTTTATAGTATTCGTATTGTTATCTGATAAAGTTATGCTGATTATAAGGTGCAAAGTTTTCTCTGCTTTCAAAATCTTTCAGTTTGGACCCGTCCTAATTTTCTTACTACAACCGCGATTTGTTGATGTCTGTCATCATTCAACCATGAATCAAATGTGCATGGTTACATTGAGTCAAGTATGCAAAAAGTAAAATCACAAAAAATACTGAACTCCGAGGAAAATTTCAAAACGGAAAGTCCCTAATCAAATGGCAAAGTCAAAAGCCAAAACACATCAAACGAATGGATAACAACAGTCATATTCCTGAATTAGTACAGGCATTTTCTTATGCAGAAGATGGCGGATTAAACCTGGTTTTACAGCTAGCTTAACCTCTCACTTGTATGACAGTTGCATCAAATTCCATTATATTGACAACAACGTGTGAACAAAACAAACAGACAAAATAGGTAAAAATGTCAAAAATAGGCAAACGAGAGTGAACGTGAAATTTTTTGCAGACAAAATGCTTTAACATAGTTTTTATGTTTTGGATTTTATTTGTTTGTTGAGGAAAGTTTCTGTAGATATTTTCAGGATTGTTTGACACATGTAGTTTTAGCTGTTCCCAAAATGGATCAGTATTTTCTTTCTGAGGTCCTTTATCGTAGGATTTTCGGCTTCCCCATACCAAGGATACATCTGGGCAGTTTTGAATCCAAGTATGTCCTTACCTATTTTCTGTTGGATGTCATGGCGTTTGTGCGGTATCCTAGGTGACCTTTTCTCTGATTTTGCACTTTTTGGAAGTAAGTCCCGTCACGTTTAGGCTGGGGGGGCTGCATAGGTACATGCTCACATTAAATCCGATTCAGTTAGCTAAGTGTCTTCGTCATGGTGGTGCTCTTAATGAAAGGGACTTTAAAGTAGCAATATACTATTAGTATCGGTATCGAATTCGACCCCGAACTTGTTAATCATTTGTTATTTTGATAAGGTAGAAACATATAGGATCTGGAATGGTGTTATTTTTAATCAACACCATTATCCTATATTACATACATTAGTTATATATAAAGCTGCATTCTTCTGGTTTCGTTGTTTTCAGTCATGTCGGCTAACACATTGGATCACGTTATTTCAGTAGTATATATAGATATTTTAGCTAAAGGTGATCTACCGAGAAACTTGACTAACATTAATCAAAGAGCAAGTCTCGATGAGCTATTTTCCTCTTGGTGTCCTAAAAGAAGTGACAAAACAGGCAAAGACAATATGAAATAAAAAAAAAATTAAGAATAGAGAAAAATGGCTAAAAAAATTGACGGATCATCTGCCTACCATAATCGAAACCTTTCGAATATGATGACTAACTTTTGATCCATTAAGGGGAGATTGTATTTGAAAATTTCTTGCCAATTGGCATAACATAAAAATGAAACAATGGTAGTAAGATAAAACGGCAAAAATCATGCACCTAAAATTTTAGTATTGCGGAGGGGCTGTAGGTAATTTATGTTGAAAGACATTTTTTTTGTGTAACCTAAAATCTTTATAGGGAGTAAAAAAGTAATGAAATGGAATCAACTTGTAAACATTACTTATCTGGCATAAGGCTGTTTTTTTTTGTTGTTTTTTGTGAAGCTCAATTTTCAGTTTTAATAGACTTTTTTCATAGTTTAGTAGTTTTCCGATGATTTTATCGTGTATAGACAAAATTAAACTGTTAATGGTCTCCCTAAATTTAAAAATAGTATATTACAGCAGTGTCCGTCGCGAAGAACTAAGTATTAATAATCATACCACATTTCCTGGTGGACTCAGTTGTATGCATATATTCTTATTTTGTACTTCTTATGTTTTTTCCCTCGAGTTATGGTCTATACAACCCAACAAACACCCCACACCCACCCCGTGGCTTTAACTCCCGATTTTTTTTTCACAAGGCACACAGTGAAGGTATTAAAGTCTAACAGTATTTTAGTCCCTTTTGCAGACTTAGTCATATTTTTAATAAAAATGGATTGTAGGTAATTTTTGTACAATACCCTTATATACAGCCTGATCCCACAGATTTTCCCTTTGATTACAAAGTTTTCCCATGCATGTCTGCGAAACTTCATAACCTACCCTTTCTGCAATTGAATCATCAGTTTGTACCCCGAAATGTTAACGGATATTTGAGTTTTTATGTGGACGTTCACAGCCATGTCCATGTCAGGTTTTATGCCGACAGTTCCACGGGAATTATGCTGTTTGAGGGAATGTTGCATGTTTTTGATACTTTCGTCTAAAAGGCAAAATTGTCATTTCTATATCTGTAAGTTCTAGCCCTAAACATGTGTAACTTTGAAATATTAATTAAACTTTAATAGAATAATTTCTTCATCCACCTATAAGAGGTACATGTATAATATTATGATAGTCCCACATGTTTATACTAAAACTAATGAATACATTTAAATACAAATTTTAAGTGTTTAATGCAATAGAAATGTCTAAGTTGGTTTTTTTTTTTTAATGTACAGTCAATTTAATTAGTTTGTTACAGAAAAAAGTTTTTGTATGGTGCTTTTGTTTACTAACAGTACATACATTTTATCAATACATTTAAGACATATTAAATTTGTGTGTACACAACACAAAATATTAAACTGGTTAGACAAGTATTTAAATCTTTTGAAAATCGATATTTCTTCATAAGTGTCCCAGATATTGGACATTTTACTTCCCTTTGCAAATTCCTATCCGACTGTCGATATATGCATGGTAAGAATTTTCTAATAATCCAATTGCTTATTTACTTTATAACTCAAATTGCATATTTCTGGTAACTGTCGATGGTAATTACCGCATAACATGTATGATAAGATAAGAATTCAATGTTTCATTTAAACAGAAAGTAGATACATGATAAATTTCACCGTGACTGAAAACAAATGAATCGGAGAATTTGCCCTCTTTGAGCAATAATTCCTAAGTCTGACACAGTACAAATTGTGTAGATAATATCTCCACTTAGTCTCTTATCATGGGTTCTTTTTCAAATATCTGCAACACAGAGACTGTAAAAGAATGTGTGGTGGCTGAAGTGCTTACGTACTTGAAAAGAGCAGAACAGTTAAATGTTCATAAGTATCCTAGTTCAATCAAAAATGTATCTTCTGGAAATATACCAAGCTCAACTATTAGGCATTATTCATTCAATGAATCTGAGAGCTGTAGTATAGCCAGGGAATATCATGTCTACTTGCTCAAACCAGTATATTATATTCCTTTTGAACACTATCAATCAATTCACTGGCCTTTAATTATTTAAGGACAAAATAATGATTTTGAAAGTTTTAATAAAATTGAAACCTTTTTTTTATACAAATACAATTAACAGTGTTGTTTGCAAAAGTTTAAAGAAAAGGATCAAAGTTTTATTTGTAGGATTTCAATCTTTTCAAAATAATTTGTATCAAAAAGAAATAATATAGTGCAAATGTATTTGTTTTATAGACATTTTAGACCTGTATTTCTTTGAACAGTTTTAATATAAAACTAAGAAGATGTGGTATGATTGCCAATGAGACAACTCTCCACCAGAGACGAAATGACATAGAAGTTAACTATAGGTCACCATACGGTCTTTAACAATGAGCCAAACCAATACCAAATAGACGCTATAAAATGCCCCCATGTGACAAATGTAAAACAATTCAAACAAGAAAGCTAACGGCCTAATTTATGTAAAAAACAATGAACAATATACAAATAGAATAGAATAGAATATACTTTATTCAAATTAAAGATGTCACAAGGGGCAATATGAGATTATAACATAACACATATTAAACAACTACAAAAACACAATGCTGAAGAAGGGAAATACCTGATTGGTAGCATTTAATATTATAAACAGCAACGAACGACAGCTACTGAATTACAGGCTCCTGACTTGGGACAAGCACATAAAGAATTATGAGGGATTAAACATGTTAGCGGGCGTCCAACCCTTTCCTTACCAGGGGCAGTGTTGTAATAGTACAACATATGTAGCATTATCTATATATACAGTTATGTCAGTAACATAGCAGCCAAAATGATACAAAAGCCAAACAATTTCATTTTTTTTTTCTGTTGGCCAATGTCTTCTATCCTTGATTTTTATATCTGTATTGTCTGCCTTAAGAAGTTCTCCCTCTACTAACCTATTATGAATACAGCGAATGAGACTACTCTCTATCCAAGTCATAATTTGTAAAAAGTAAATCATTACAGGTCAAAGTACGGCCTTCAACAAGGAGCCTTGGCTCACACCGAACAGCAAGATATAAAGAGCTCAAGAAATGACTTAATAAACCATTGAAACAGGAAAATCAATAGTCTAATCTGTATAAAAAAAAAGGAGAAACGAGAAACACTTATGACCCACATCAACAAACAACAACCACTAAGGTCTAGTTGATTATTGGAATGTCAAAGGTAAAAGGCGCAGAACAGTGTTGATTAATTCCCAGATAAGTATGTTCTGTATAATTGTGAATATACATACAAATGTGTAATAGGTTTATTTGTCATTACATATCTGGACATAATGCATCTTTTATGATCATAATATTACCTGTATTTATATATCTTACAGTAACTTTTTTGACTATTGTATTTATAGCTGTAAAGTTTTACTTTAGAGAGTATTTTCACATGTTTTAGATATAAAGAGATAAAGTAATGGCCTCATCAGTCAAGCACTTTTGTACAATTTGTCTTGATGATGGAATCTCCAACAGAGCCGTCACCTGGTGCACAGAATGTGAGGTGTTGTTTTGTGAAGACTGTAAAAAACCTCACAGCAAGTCAAGACTGTCTAACAATCATAAAACCATCTCATCTGAAGATTACCACGAGTTACCTAAATTCATGAAAGAAATAAGCAGTCAGTGCAGAGACCACAAGGAGAAGTTTGAACTTTATTGTTCTTTTCATGCATGTCCATGCTGTGTCCAGTGCATCACCGATGGACACCAGAAATGTCAAGATCTGAAACCCTTGTCTGATATCCTAAAGCAAGTAAAATCATCTGCCTCAGTTCAACTTTTTGAAAAAGATTTGAAGGTTGTGAAGAAAAACTTAGATGCAGCCATAAAATACATGAAAACCAGATTCAGTACTATCTGTACTCAGAAAACGAAAGCCGTTGAGGAAATCAAGTATATGAGGAAGTCTATCAATGATTACTTAAACAAATTAGAGCAAGACATACTTAATGACTTAGAGTCTAAACATTCAAAGCTGAAATCAAACATGGCCACTCTCGTACAACAAATGGAACAGGGAGTCAGTCAGATAAATCAAATGCAGAGCCAGTTTACCCAAATGACGCAACATGCAACAGAGCTACAGATGTATATTGGTCTAAGAGAAATTGAGAAAACTACATCACAAACGGAAAAATACATAGACGATTTAGAAAGCGAAGACCACTTCATTGAAAAGAATCTAGAGGTTAACATTTCATCTACTGTTCAATCAATTCTACACGACGTCAAATCCTTTGGAGATATCAATATTAATACCACCTCTTCTACCCTCCAATTAAAAGCTGGAAGAAAAGATCAAACCCAGAATTTAATTTCAAAATTCCTGGAATTGGACAAATAAAGCCATCCTTGTTGACAAAACTGACAATTCAAAAGATATGAAGACTTTAAGTATAATTGCCTGTCGAATTGTACCGGATTGTAAAATTATCGTACTTGATTACAACATGAGAAAACTACTACTGTTCAGTAATGATGGCATCTTCATCAGAATAGTGGTTACATTCACACATGGTCCTTACGATGCCTGTTTTGTCAGAAATAATACAGTAGCTGTTACATTAGGATCAGCCAATCAGACAACACTGGTGGATATAGAAAAGAATAAAATTATTCAAACAATCAAATTTCCTCATGGTTGTTATGGAGTAGCATGTGATGTTAAAACTTTGGTCATCAGTAGTGGTGGCAGACAGAGCACTAGAGTGAATCTGAATGACAATTCTCATACAATCACAGAAGGAATGGAAGAAGTTGGTTGTATTGCATTATTCCAAGGAAATATCTATGGTACCATTCCTTTAGAAAACAAAGTATGCTGCTTTAACTGTACCGGTGAAACTCTGTGGACGTTTACGCACCAGGACATTGATCAACCAGTAGGAATTACATTAGACATGAATGGCTTTGTTTATATAGTTTCTAGTAAAAACAATAGTGGTGTGGTAGTATCACCAGATGGTAAAACCTGTAAGACCATACTATCAGAGGCTGATGGAATCAAATATCCTTGGGCCATAGACATCAACAGAGAAACAGCAATGATGATAGTGTCTGGTAAAATAAGTGAAGACAGAGGAAACTATTTCGCAGCATTTGTTTATAAAATTTAAAAGTCAATTTAATTTTTGGATAGATGCATATCTGATAACAATATCATCACTTCTTACTTAATTTAAACGTCGTGCAAACAATTTATCATTTTAACATGTAGAAAATATGATTGTAAATGATTACAGATTTACAGTTTTAACCGGATTTCCGAAGGAAAATATCGTTAATTTAACAGGTGATGTACGACAAACAAAAAGGCGGGCGTTCGGCTGCCAAACAGTGTCTGTGCAATAACATGATTACACCATGTACACTTCACGAAATATTTTTCAAATTTAGATATGTTGTTTCATGTGAGTTATTGAAAGTGAAATTAAATTTTCACTATTTTAGCTTTAATCCTTTTTGAGTTGTAGACCTATAAGTAGCAACAAGTAATACTATGATTGATTTTAGACTTACGATGCCTGTTTTGTCAGAAATAATACAGTAGCTGTTACATTAGGATCAGCCAATCAGACAACACTGGTGGATATAGAAAAGAATAAAATTATTCAAACAATCAAATTTCCTCATGGTTGTTATGGGGTAGCATGTGATGTTAAAACTTTGGTCATCAGTAGTGGTGGCAGACAGAGCACTAGAGTGAATCTGAATGACAAGTCTCATACAATCACAGAAGGAATGGAAGAAGTTGGTTGTATTGCATTATTCCAAGGAAATATCTATGGTACCATTCCTTTAGAAAACAAAGTATGCTGCTTTAACTGTACCGGTGAAACTCTGTGGACGTTTACGCACCAGGACATTGATCAACCAGTAGGAATTACATTAGACATGAATGGCTTTGTTTATATAGTTTCTAGTAAAAACAATAGTGGTGTGGTAGTATCACCAGATGGTAAAACCTGTAAGACCATACTATCAGAGGCTGATGGAATCAAATATCCTTGGGCCATAGACATCAACAGAGAAACAGCAATGATGATAGTGTCTGGTAAAATAAGTGAAGACAGAGGAAACTATTACGCAGCATTTGTTTATAAAATTTAAAAGTCAATTTAATTTTTGGATAGATGCATATCTGATAACAATATCATCACTTCTTACTTAATTTAAACGTCGTGCAAACAATTTATCATTTTAACATGTAGAAAATATGATTGTAAATGATTACAGATTTACAGTTTTAACCGGATTTCCGAAGGAAAATATCGTTAATTTAACAGGTGATGTACGACAAACAAAAAGGCGGGCGTTCGGCTGCCAAACAGTGTCTGTGCAATAACATGATTACACCATGTACACTTCACGAAATATTTTTTCAAATTTAGATATGTTGTTTCATGTGAGTTATTGAAAGTGAAAATAAATTTTCACTATTTTAGCTTTAATCCTTTTTGAGTTGTAGACCTATAAGTAGCAACAAGTAATACTATGATTGATTTTAGACTTCTGAACCCTTAAATTCAACAATTTTTCTTTTCTTTTTTTACTTGATCTAGTTTGGCGGTCCAGATTTGCCAATATCCTTGTTATGCCGGACAATAGGGTTTGCTATTAATTTGACATCCTTTTGTTTCTCAAATTACATAGCATTAAGTATTGAACAAGAAAACAGTAAACATCCAAATTGAAATGCTATACGTTGGAAGCATCTTGAGTATTTACCACCATTAGAACCAAACAAATGTAATGCCAAGAAGAACCATTAAAACCTGGAGCTAAATGGATTACAAAAAGGGCCCATAAAACATGTAAAAAGAATAACCAAACTCAACCGAAGTCAACTGATGCATAGAGGGGGATCGAAACTATGGTTTCTGAATGATTTCTAAATTTATCAATTGATACATTAAAACGTTATTGTATCGACATTCCTGTGCCAAAGGAGAAATAACAAGAGTGCACACGCTGAAATGTCTCGTCTTCTTTACTGACCACTAATTTATGTTGGAGGGTAACGAGGTTTAACTGCTAGTATCACACACAAGAGATTCATGACCTTACATTCATTCAATACGCAAAATATAGATGACCTTTATGCTTATAGTAATTAAAAAAAACACCATAATACAAAAACATAAACTTAACCAATGAACCATGAAAATGAGATCAAGACCAGATTACACCAAAGATAGTTGACCAATGGGTTATAGTACTGTACATCACCACAGACCAGAACATGATAAGAAGTTAACTTGACAAAAAAAATTTTTTTTGTTTTCAGCCATTGAACTATAAAAATGAGGTCAATGATATTGGACGTATGACAGACGGAATATAATTACATTAGGTATCTGTTCATAAGGTATGATGCATCCGGGATTTTTACCTTCTGAAATATGAAGCTCAAAACAAATAGCAAAAATCGCCGCCGCCAGTCAGTAATCGATTCGTCCCGCATCCTGCGACTCTCGTTGCAGGTGAGACAAAACGCGATATGTAAACTATAGAAAAGACATATTAATGTCTCAGCATTATTATACCGTACGTTCCGTCGTATGGTGTTTACATATCTCAATTGATACGTTGTGTTCGTACATGTTCACGCTATACCGACTTCATATACACTAGCGTGCTCCTTACGTAGTAACTGCTCCAACAGAGTTATGGGGAGAAAAGATTAAAAATGACTCTCCGTAAATGTTTAGGAAACAATTACGCAATTGGTTGATCTTTACGATGTGACTGTGTATAAGCTAACTAATGGCATTTTTACCACGTCTTAGATTGTTGATTACATATATGTCGTCTGTCTGCTAAGTGCTTAATGTGATCTTTTTCCGAATATGACTGTTTTGCCGAATATGAATTTGTATTGCTATACGACGTGTCTCGATATTTGTTTACATCCAACATTCATTTGTTTATTTGTGGTGTTTCTGTTTTGATTTCGGTTGGATAGTGTGGTTTGTCTGATCGTTTGTTAGAGTTTTGTGCTCTCTGTGCCTTGCATCTTGTTTGTCAGTGTAGTCGAGTTGATTTCCATTTTCCATCGATAAAGTATTGTGTTAGTCCAAATAATTATGACATCGTCAAAGCATTTATTCAAAATAGGCTTTCAATACCGTCATTATTATAATATTTGTTTGGACTTGTATTGTTAAAAATACTTGTCTTTCAAGATTATATATTCGTTAAAAAATACGTCACTGTTTGTTATGTCTCGTGATGTCGGTCGTTAATGGAAGATGATCGTTGTTATTCTGCGGTTAACATGTTGTAACGACTATTATATAATATTTATCTGTGCGTTTCTCTGTGATGAGTATTATTGCGTCTATTTGGGCTGTGTTTCTGTCACCTAGTGTTGTCATTTAAGCGATATTTCTAACATTGCAATATAACCAGGGGTTTGACTAGCTTAAAAAATCAGGTTCAATCCAACAGTTTTTCTTAAAGTTGTCCTGTACCAAGTCGGGAATATGATAGTTGTTTATTTATGTTGGCGTTTGGTTTTGTAGTACGTCAGTGATTCTGGTGTTCCTTTGTTTTCCTCTTATAGTTGACATGCTTCCTTCGGTTTTGGTTTGTTTCCCGGATCTACTTTCTCCAAATCGATG